ACAGTTCAAAGAGCCAACCCACAAGCAAGTTCTGGTTTTCCTGATGGTGGCTTCCAACAAACCACCTGGGAGCAGGAACCATTTTAACAGCTCTGACCTACAGGAACTTCTTTTAAAACTTGTTTGTATCCCAGGTTAAGGAGGAGAGAGGATGGGTTGTCACCACTAAGAACATCCCTATAACAACCACAAAGAGAATAAAGAGATGTTCATGCAAAGAGAAGTGTGGAGGAACTCTGGTTCTTCCCAATGGAGAGGAGGAGAGAGGAGGAGGAGGAGAGAGGAGGAGGAGGAGAGAGGAGGAGGAGGGAGGACATACCCGCGCTGCCCTGCCCCGCCACGGCGGCGCTCAGGGGCACGATGTGCGTTCCGTTCTGTGTGACAGCTTTGATGGGCAGCTGGTGCTGGCCCAGCGGCGCCTGCTGCACTATGGTAACTGTCTGTAAGGGGGTGGGCTGCGACGTCTGGATGATGCGGCCAGCAGCTCCTATTGCAGCATGGCTAATAGCAGGGAGAGGCTCCACTTTCACTGGAAAACAGCAGAGAAAATATGGTTCAAATTACCAAAGTGCTCAGGAAGCCCCCGGTTTCACTCAATCAGCCCTCAGTGTGTTGTTTTATTACTTGCTCCAACATAACTGAGAAATCACCATTCCAAATCTTCAGTTTTAGCCAAACACTTCAAGCAGTGCCCTGCAAGTATTGATGCCCCATCCCTGACCCTCCCTGAATGAGGCTTGGAGCAACCTGGGATAGAGGAAGGCATCTCTGCCCATGGCAGGGGGTGGAACGAGAAGGGCTTTTAGGTCCTTCCACACCAAACTCTTGTATGATTCTACAATTCTAAGTTTCAAATACTGACCCCCCTGAATAAAGAAGCGCCAAGGCAACCCCAACAGTCCTCACCTTTGACTTCCTTGTGGTCTCCATTCTCTTGAGGTTCTACCTTGGGCTGGGTGACCATAGCAGCTTGTGTGACGACCGCCTGTCCTGCGACAGTGTAAGTGTTTGCTGGTGCTAATCCAGTCACGTTGGTGACTGACACAGCTGGGATCTGGTGCACAACATGAACTGTCTGAACTACAGGCTGCTGGGAGGTTGATGTTGTCACGGGAGTTGCAACAGTGTAAGTGACGGGTTTGATAGCTTGTGGTAGCTGCCGTTGTACAGTAATTAAAACTGGCTGGCTAGAGAGAGGTGATCCTACCAAGAAAGAGGTCAAAATTAGACTGTCAATTTTCATTATTTCTTTTAAGCCTTCATTTATTTCTTTTAAACTTCACATTAAAACTTCAGAGAATTAACGAACTCCTTCACTAATGCCTGAATGAGGCAAAAAGTAATGCTGGACAATAAAGGTTAGGGCAAGTGGTTATTCCCAGCTCCAGGCTCAAGGGAAGGGCTCAGCAAGACCCACACACCATTTGGGCACCCCAGCTCTGCTCCCAGACAAGTGGTTAGCATTTATTGAAGTAAAGCCCTTTGCACAGATGGGTGTTGTGTGCAGCATGCCTGAACTGGGAATGCTCTCTGTGTGCTGCACTGGGAATCCTGAGGAATGCTCAGGACCATGTCTGCCCTCTGTAGTGCCACATGACCACCAAGAAACTGGATGGCAAATGTGTATCAAAGGTAATTAAACAAACACATCCTTAGCCCATCAATGCCTTATTCTTTTTTTGTTTTAAACAGGAAATTTCTTATCTCTCTTATCCTTCCAATTCTTTCATCTCCCCTCAACTCTGGAAGAATGACATGACCACAGATGTGTGAAAGGGCATTTCCTTATTTCTGTAACACACACAACCTTACATTTTGGGTTTTTTCCCAAGAGAACTGTTACAAGACAGCAAAGTCCTACACAGGACAGAGGCACAGCCCCTCCTCAGTGACAACATGACCCAAGGTTCTGGAGCAGCCCCAGGTAACAACAGCCCCGTGTGTTCAAACAGACCCTCCCTGCCTGATTCTGATTTCCTCACAGATCTGCTCTGAATGTCAACAGGTGAAATACACACTCATTTGTGGTGTACATATTAAGTCTTGGCAATATTTTGGTGTCAGCCCCCCAGCCCCAGTGCCAAGCTCAGGGCTCCTCACCTGGGGCACTCTGTGCAAATCGCGCTTCTTGTATGACGGCGAGTTTTGGCTGGATGGCGCTGGGCTCAGGTTCCATCGGGACAGGAGACCCTTCCCTGGACAGGCTCTCGGGGGTCTGGACGCCACTGGAGTGTGCAGACAACACTCCAGAGTGATTAGGAGAAGCTGGGGCACTTCTGTGGTTAGAAATGAAAGCAGCAGCTGATGTGTTTTAACTTCTGAACTGTGAAAGCCCATGACCTTCCTCTAATGAGACCAAAACACACTGCCAGCAGCAGGGGAGGGCACAGCTACAACCCAGAGCTCTGGATCTTTTAAAAAGCTTCTGTTAAACAGGGACAGAATTTAAAAGCAAACTCCAGGTACAGTTAACAGAGAAGAAGTGGCTGGATGCCTTCTTGGGGAGACTCTAAATCTGTGAAACATGAACATTTCTTCTGGTGGAGAAGAACAATGAGCAAATCTGAGGCTACAAGGCAAGTAGAAAAAGATCTGCACCAGCAGAAAGGCCATAACTTTACAGAGGGAATAATTTAAACCCAGGTATTTCCCCATCACAAATTCTGCTCGAACATTATCAAACTGAATACACAATTGTCATCTCTAAGGTCAATAAAATGGTAGCCAGTATCTGAGAATTTTCTTTGTAAACATTTTTAAAAATCCAGTAGATGGCAGTTAGAAATTAAAATTTTAATTCTGCAAAACCCATCAAAGGTAAAGCAAGGCTTGCATACATTAACAATCTGATAGTTAGTTATTGTAACCGAGTTCTTTACTGCTAAAAACAAGCAATAAACACAAGCCTGGTGTATGGGGCAGCCTCCTAATGAAACACACAGAATTCAAACACTGAGTCTGGATGAAATTAAATTACTAAACTTGTGAGTGTATCCGAAGCTATCAAGTCTGTAGCAGCCTGAAGATTAAACAACAGCCATAGTCTTTTTGTTGATCTGGTTTTCCTTACCTAGAAGAGAGTGGTCCCAGAGGGGTTCTAAAGCAAGGTACTCCCCTAGGCCGCCTTTTCCTAAAAGCCTGCTCTATTAATTTGCTTTCAGAGGCAGGGTCTATCCTCCAGAATGAGCCTTTGCCTGGTTCTTCCTGGGAACGTGGTACTTTGATGAAATAACGATTCAGAGAGAGATTGTGACGTATTGAATTCTATGGAACATAAAAAAATATGTAGAATTCATATAACTTTTCCAAGTCAGAATGTGGCCTACTGCAGCAGTTTGTACTATAGGAGACTCGGGGTTCAGCTCTTTAATTCCTTAATTTAACAGAACTCAGAGCACTACCAAGCAGTGCCATCAACCTGAAAGGACTTGCATTTGTCAAATCTTTCCCAACAATTAAAAACCCAGTATGCTAATTGGAAATAACAAGAATCCCATTTATTTCATTCTCTCATGAGAAACACGGTGATTGAAACCAACGTTTAGAACACTACAAATACTTGTGCAGAATGCAGTGTTAAAAACAAAAATAAAAATGATCAGTGCTCGTACACCACCCTTCCCCAGGTGTCCCAGCTCCTCCCAGGAGGGCCAGCAGAACACAGCATATACTGATTCTGATCCTATGTGGTAATTCTGTTCCACAGCTCAGAAAGAAAAGGCTAAATTACACAAGTTCCAAAGGCAGCTGGATTGTTGTGAATTCATCCACAGTCCAGTTTGTCTCGATAACAAAGCCAAGAATTTAATGTGTCAATTAAAACCAAGTGGCAGCAGGTCCTGAACCAGCTCTTCCACATCTTTGTCACCACGGTCCCTTTGCACATTCCCACATCCTCAATTTGCTGCAACATTCCCCCACTCCTCCACCAGAGCAATGCACAGAACTGCTGACACCCTCAAGTGGCTCTATCTGTGCTTGGCCCTGCACACAGAATTTCTTTTCATTTTCTTTACTTTCATTTTTTAACATAGATAAACCCCCAAATCTCTCTCAATATCACTGAACAAGAGGAGACTGATGCTAAGGATTCACCTTGAAACACTTGTGGGGGAACAGAGGTAAATGGGAAAAAGCTTTATGTTAACAAAAGCTCTCAGAATTCTGCAAAGGGAATGTAAAACTTGCTCAAATATCTGAGTTCATGACCCTGATGGTAAGTTTGGGAAACTTAAAGCAGTGATAACCACATATGATTTCTTGAATGCAAACTGATGAAACCGGAGATGGCTTTTTCCCTGCCAAAAATGGAAACACAACTAGAAAGATGCCAAGAACATATTTATAAATTGTATTTATTCCTCCATATGCTAGAATAAAGGAGTAGATCCAAAAGTACCTGCTAAAACAAATTCACAGAGAGGAGTCTTCAAATGCTCATCAAAATGAGACCATTGTATGCTAAAGATATAAATACCTCTGTTTCTTAAGGTATGGGACTGGGACACTCTACATGTGTTTGTACTCTATGTTTTGAATAAAATGTGCATATATAGCCTCCAATATGATTTGAAACAGCTATCCTAAGTAACCCGAGCTCCAATCCAACTCCTAATGTGTAGAAGCTGGCAGAGCAGTGACTGAGCAGCATCTGATTTTCAGCTTTTCCAATTGTTTCTGTGAATAGCTGCTGATTAATGACTCCAGAACACAGTGTCTGCTGTGCCTATCACCTTGGCTTTAGGAAGCATTACACCCCCAAATTCACACCCTGTTCTATGGAAGAGCTCTTTACCTCAGCATAACTCTGTGTGTGTGTGTGTGTGTTGGTTCATGATGCTCACAAAGCAACATCATCTACACAGATACTCAAGGTACTGCAAAATAGGAAGCAAAACACACATCAACATTTTATAAACAGAGTCTTGTTGCTAAAACAACATGACTGCAGCCAGGATACTGCACTGTTATGAGGGAAAGGGAAACAAAAGAGACTTCCCAGTCACAACAGCCAAGTCCTTGACTAACCAAACCCTTAGCAAACAGCCAGGAACTGCTACGTTCCCCACTAACCTTGGGAGAGTGAGCCAGCTTTCATTTAGGCCATAAGACAAATAAGTAAGTGATTAATATTTAAAAATCTCTTCCTCTACAGGGAAGGCTGGTATTCTTCACTCTTCCACTTGTGCAGCCAATGTTAACACTTCCTCACTTTCCCCTCATCCAGGGTCTGTCTCTCAGTTTGATCTCCCTGACAATACCTGCAGAGTGAGCAGACAGCTCACACTGCACCGTGTGCTCCGGGCATTCCAGACCCTGCAAACTCTGCTCCTGGGCCCCCCAGACACCCAGAACAGCACCAAAGGCACACAGCCTTCATCTGTGTCTGGGAAGGTTCTGCCAGACTGATTTGTACTCTGTTAGTCATCCTGGCAAAAGATGAGGCAGGTCTTATGAAAATGAGAAGAAAGCAGAAATTAATTCTGCAGTTGAAAGGTTTGGTCCAACTCAGTACAGGAATTGGCAAGTTCATGAAAAGTGCATGAGCCAGGGTGAGATAATGACAGATAACACACTTGTTCCTTCACCTGCTGCAAGGGCAAGATCACTGTTTTCAAACAGAACTGAACTTGGAGCATTGAATATCTCAATTTTGTCTCAAGATAGCAACATGGATGTTTACACAACTGTAAGTTACAGAACGTGACACCATTCCTAGATAGCATACAGGATTCAAATCCAGTGCCAAACGCACTTTGCTTTCCCCAAAATGTGTCTGCATCCCTACTAGAGGTTTAGAGAACACCATTCCATCAATAAAGCAGTATTTCAAATACAGACTAATGTGAATTGCCCACTTTGTCAGAAAACTTACAATCAGAAGAAAGACAACACACTCATTTGACAAATTCTATTTCTGAAGGGTTCTGAGGCTTACCAACTGCCTGCTCATCACCATTTACAGCTGCCACTATTGCTCACATGTAAGAAAAAAAAATATTCCAGAAATCAAAATTACCTGCCAGCCCTTGTCTGCTGTCCTGTAGTAGGGATAATTTTTAGTTATGTGCGTATAAATTCCATTTAGTGTAAGCTGCTTATCCGGGGCCATTGTAATTGCTTGGACTATTAACTGTGCATAGGAGTAGGGTGGCTTTGAGTCATCCTGGACAAAAACAAGAAAAGTCTGCATCAACAAACTTTGAAGAGATACACACTGTTTACTAGATCAAAAGTCATAAAACATCATTAACTTGACTCAGGGCATTTTTGGATGATCAAAATCTTGAGGCAGAAAAGAAACTAAGAAAGCTTTGTTCTTCTGATTAGCAATTTTAGGAAAACATAACTTTTGCAGATATGTATAACAGCAAAGAATTTTCAATAGCCTCCAAACAGATCTATAACTGAGACTGCACACAGCCCCACCCCCAAAGGGGATGGGGTCAATCAATCAATCTCACATCTGATCACAAAACCCTACACATTGTTTTTAAAGCCTGGCATGTTAAATTACCACTCAGTGCTTACACCTTAGCAAACAAAACATCCCAAGTGTTCCATTCAGTTCAGGTGTAATTTCTGGGATTGGTTTCAAGCTGTGTTTACCTTTGGGCTGTCTCCCCCCGAAGCTTCCTTGTCGTTTTCTGACTGTGAATTGTCAGCCATCAAATGTAGGTCAGATGCTATTCCACGACTCATTTTGTACCCTGAAGAGCCTGCGCCGCGGGGGCTCGATGGGCAGGAATTTGCAGCACTGTAGAGCATAAAAAGAAGATCCTACTATTTTGTTATACAGTATATCACCACATTATGTCTCATCAAAAAGCTTTTACTGCAGCAAAGCCACTACCAGAGCTGTGAGGCTGCAGCTAAAGGGCTGTCAGGGCTTCCATTCCAAACCACCTTCCACGCCTTGCTAACCCAGCCATGGAATCACAACCACTGCAGGAAGAAACCTTGCTCAGGCTTTCCTCCTCAAGCCAACGAGGATCAGCTGATTGATCAGGCTGTGATGTATTTGTGTAAGATTTGCCACCTTAAGTCCACCTAAACTGCATCAGCAACCACAGATTTTCAGACACTCATTGGAAATGAGACACACATCCTGCATGGAATTTCTGCCATATGCTTGTGTTCAGTCTGCCCCCAAAAAATCATCTCTCCTGTGCAGTGTTTCTGCACATTTGGGAAAATATTGCAAGCAGTGAGATAAAAAAAGGTTTGATTCTCATTTAAATCAAAACCAGTATTATTTTAAGTGTTTACAGGTGTGTGCACATACTTACACATAGGTATGTGTATTAAAATAATAAAATTATCTATAAATGAGATGCATCAGCACTGACTCAGCTGATTTAATGCAGTATTAGGCCAACAGAGCAGATACACTGCTCAAAAGAGAAGGTGCCAAATACTAAACAAGTATCTCCTAACACTTCACATTTTGCCATCCATCACAGAAAAACAAATAAAACTGTATATAATTCAACTGGAACATCTTTCTACCAGCAGTCCCCTGCCTTGCAGAGTCCACAGGAACTGCAGCTGCATGATGACAATTTTCTTCTAAGCTTTCTTTTTAGCCAAGGGGAAAGAAAATCAGCAGGTGAGGTCCATCCCCTTCCCCAAAATAATTTTGGCAGCTCTCTTACAAGGACACACACTCTCTGTAATTCATACTGCAGGTGATTTCAAGGCAGTCCTCAGACATTTCAAAGAACTAGAAATCTCAATAGCTGCACCTGCTGTGCCCCCAGAACCAGCCTTAGCTCCAAAAATAATCTTTAAACTTTGAATCTATGGTTCAAAACATCAACAACATATAAATCTAGACAATGTTATTTAGATCTATACACTAAAGCTTTAACTATTTTCATCTGTCAAGGTTTGTTTGTTTGCCTGGGCACTCAAGTTTTTTCCTACCTCCTTTTTAATGTACAGAAGGAGACAAACACTATAGATTTGGCAATATATATTGAAAGTATGAAAGCTTCACTTCCCAATAAATCCAATGATTTGTTACTAGTGATATACTTACTGTAAGAGAGAGATGGCATTTCTTAAGTGCTGTACAGAAGAATCCTTGGCTATAGCCAAAATGTGTAGCTAATTTATTTTTTTTAGATATAGGTCACTCCAGCTCTGTGTTTTCACGTATCAGCTGACAACATCCCTCTGCTCTGCTCACTTCAGCATATATTGACAAAGCGACACATATGGTATAATCAAAGCAAGTTTACAAGTCTTCTACAAAACAGGATGATTTGCAGAGAAAGTGTCAGGCTTTGCTCTCAAAATAGATTCAAAACTGTCATCTCTTTCTTTTTCTTTTTTTTTTTTTTTTCCTGTAATAAACTGCTCAACAGGTGCATGAAAGCCCTGAAGAGAATTACAAAATTCATAGCAAGGCAAAGACAGTGGTGATAGATGGGGTATTATCTGAAATATTTGTGAGCTGCTCTGTCATTGGCAAGATGTGTTTTCTCTGAATTCTTATAAGAAAGCAAACCAGACAAGTCTAGATATCTTTTCTCTCAGCTTCTATCATTTAGGCAGGTGTCATTAAACACTCCCACATAGAGACCAAGAGCTTGGCAAGCATGCAAGAAGTCAATTATGCTTCCATTCAAATCTCATTAACAAGTTGTACCTTTTTAAGAAGCAAGCACAAGCAGTTCTTTGCTCAAGTGAAGACCCAGGAAGTGAGAGGGGACAAAAAAGCTTTCAAAGGCACGTACATGACTGAAACAACTTGCAGTGCCTTGACTTGGAAGTTCTGCTCCTGATCTTTCCAACGTTTTGAAAAATTCCATCCATGAAGTAATTTTACCTGTTTGTGAGGATGGGTTGCTTGTGTTTAATTGTGTTTGGTCACAAGTAACTGGTGGGACAAGGGCTGCAATTACCAAAGAAGCAGCAGGGCAAGGAAACGTCTGTTTTCCATACCAATAATAACCCAAACCATCATTTTTCCTGATGATAAACTTCAGGAGAACAGTGGCAAATCAGGACGTTTTAAAATGGTGTAATTTAAAATTGTCTCATTTGAAGAGCTGCAATAAGCATGCAAGAGGCAAAAAGCAATTTAAATTGTTGGAATGCAAGAAAAATGCCAGGTTCCTGAGCAGACTCTTACACATTGAACATGTTAAACCAGAGTATCACAGACTGTTCATGCAATTATGTCAGCAGAAAGGAGGTTTCTTGAGGCAGGTAAGGCTGAGCTTCAGCCAAATTTTGACCTCAAAAGCAAAATACAGAAAGTTGTGCTGAGCCTGACTCTACGTGGCCCTGATCCCACCTGCAGGGTTTAAATACCTGATAGTTCCTGTGGGAGAAGGGAGAGGGCTGATCAGGTGAGCCATGTTGTCTGGAATGTTTATTGTTAAGGGAGAGATCTGGGGTTGCACAGGCTTCACTGGGGACTCGGGGGCCTCCTGTTTTTCTCTCTTTTCATTGGACAGAGCTGTGAATGTTATCTTGATGTTTGTGCTGGGAAACCTGAAAGTACAGCTGAAAAATAAACAAACAAACAAATATATGAGCCACTTGTTTACAGAATGTAAGACTTTCTGAATAACTTGCATGTTATCACCTAAGCCCATTTCGAATTTATAAGATACAGTATTTATGTAATTACCCACGACCATCTTCATTTTACAGATCACACAGGGAGATCAACGTGAGCAGAAAAAGATCCCCAAATAAACAACTGACATTTGCAGAGGAATACAAGTAAATGCAATTCTTTCTAACATGGGCAGTTTTATTGTCTCTAAATTTCTTGAGGTTAATCCTGATCTTGCAGTAGCCCCAAAGCAGAGCTATTTTAAAAACAAAAACTCATTATTTTATGATGCCAAGGAATGGCTTCAGCAAATGAACAAGTTGGTCCATGATAGCAGAATTAATCAGAAGCATGAAGGTTGGCCAATTTGAGGTCTAACCAGTTTCATAGACTGGTCTAAGAGATTTGGGTTCTTTCCTCTTAAAATACCTATTTAACTAAACATACACCAATTCTAATTCTGCTCATTTACAGAGTATACTGCTGCTTTAGTACTACATTCAAATACCTTTTTCAGAGCTGAATTTAAGACCCTATTTCAGTAAACTGCCTATTTTCATGTATTACCAAGGATTACATACCTAAATTTAATGACAAACAATAAATTAACAATGTGGAACTGTTTAAAATTTGAAAAATAAAATACAATGAATGTACCTTAGGATAATCCCCTTTCTACCTCCCTGTGCACAGCATTTAGAATTGAACTCAATTAAACAGGACACGCTTATTTCTAACTTCTCAGTAAATAAATTTGCTCAATCTTGAGCAAATAAGAAACTTAATTTTGTCATAACAAAAGCATCTATAAAAATACAGTTCAAATAACTTCACTGCCTCCTCATCCTTAAGTTGTTAGACTACACTGAGCACTAAACACAGGATGACATTTACACACCTCCCACATGATGAAAAGGACTTTCCAACGACACTATACCCAGAAACAAAACTCACAAAATGTTGGGGTTTGGGTTTGTTTTGCTTTTAAGTGCTTCTAGGCAGATCTAGTTTTATACAGAAAGGAAAGAGGCGCAGGCTGGAACAAGGGGTAAGAAATGAGCTATGAATGCAAAATACAGACTGTAAATAAAAGTGATCATTTCTCTGGAAAAATATATTAAACATAAAAGTGATGTAAGAATTGGCAGGAATGCTCAGCTGCGGAGTAGCCTTAGAAATGAACTCTCATGTGTTTTGGCTTTCATATCTTAAAATGAATCTAAGGATGTTTATAGAACAAAGGCAGCATTTGATTTTCACCATGTCCCTTGCCACATGCACCACAGTGGTTCTTTTACCCTACAATCTACACTCAAGGATCAGGAAAAAGAGAAAGAATTGACAGTGACCTTCCTTTTCTCTCTGTCTTACTTCTGAGTACGGACCGTGTCCGCATTTAACAGACGACCTATTTCTGAAACATGCTCAATGTACTAAATTAGGAACAGAATCTATGCCAAAAAACTGCACAGGCATTTCAGCAAAGGAAGTTAAATGGACCAATTTCTGGGTTGGGTTTTTTTAATATATTCAGTAGCAACTCATTTATTCGCTTTTTCCAGTAGAAAGTATTTTGCGCTTGTGTCTTTTTAGTGACAACAGAAAAGAGTACCAAATTTATTTCAACTCATTTTCAACAAAAACATGGGAATAATTTGACATGGCTTTAGGTGCTAATTCCTTGGTTAGAGTCCTTATTGCCTGGTAAAAAACCACCCCAGTGCACAGCACTGAGGAACCGGAGTCCTCCCGTGCCACACCAGGGTGAGGATGGGGAAGAGGCGCATCTCCACAACTTCAAACACAAGTACCAGGAAGATGGAAAGGCAGAAAAGGAATACTCAGCAGTTCCTCTGATATTCCATATAGACATACATATATTAAAAGATCTCCCTTCTTACCCTACTGCAGCCGTGAATTCATCACCTCCCCATGGGCTTCTCTGCAAACAAGGCGGCAGCACAGCCATGGGGCTCTCAAATCTTCAGCAAGGTTGGGAAAAAACACCCCAAAAAGCAGCCCTAAACAAAGGAGCTTTCACCAACCAGGGGGACTCCAGAGTTCTACACAAACCTGTGTCAAACAAACTTGGAACTGATAGACATGAAAACCCAGAGGTTTTCCTCTGTGCAGTTTACATTTCCCATGCTGAGCCTGAAAGGCCGGTGTAAGTAAAGGAAAATACAATGTACTTACAAATCCCTCTCTGGTTAGAGCAATAAACACCTGAATATTATCAAAAGACCACATCTGTCGATTGATTCATATTTGCAAACAGTTTTTTTAATAGAAGGATATTTTTATAGATGGAATTCAGCCCAAAAGCAGAATAAAGAGTGTATACTAACCAACAGAATTCCTGAATAAATTGCAGTTATGCAAATGTATTATATTTACATCCAAAATCAAAGTACAGAACATGTTCTAATTTGATCAGAATCAAGTTGGTTTTGGCATATTCTTTAGTTATACAATGAACTAAAGAAAAACCACAGAATCACCCTCAGGGAGAGACCTCATCAAACATTTAGCCCTCAACAAGCTGAACTGGGTTTTACTCACTGTTCAGAAGTTTACAACAGTTACACAATACCACAGGATGGCTGCTGGAAGAGAAGCTCATCTAGACAACCCACTTACACAAGCATCCCCAAGAAATAAAGCAGTTTTGTACATTTATTGATGACAAGTCCAGGTGAATGTCACAACAGAGTCACTGCATAACCCAGGGAACACAGAGGAGGTGTCACAACTAAAATGCAGCTCATTACCCCAATTATTCTTCTTTAAATTTAAAAAAAAAGGCTCACTGTGGGTTAACTACTGGAAAACAGACAAGCATCACATCATCTCAAACTATTCTGTAGACAACTCCTCTATATCTGCAGTTCCCAGCCAAACACAGCAATGCTGATCCAGGCAGGACCTCTGCAGTTTAGGAACTTTGCAGGGTGCCAGAGAAGTGTCTCGGGGTAAAAACTGTGCAAAGTCTGGTTTTGTCACATCTGTATTTCCAATATTTTCTCGCTTCCCCTCAGCAATTCTGTAGTTCTGCCTGTGTGAAAATACCATCTGACTGGGAAGGAGGAATTTCATCCTGTCTTTATCAGGGAAACCAAAACACAGCAGAAGAATTCAATTTCTTCCCTGTACATAAACCCTGCTGTGACACCCAATGCCTCAATATCCTTTGAATTATTCCAGTTTAATTGCCTTCTAAGAACCAGGACCAAAATCAGACAGAAGCTGCCATGCCACTTTGATCAGCAGGTTCTTTTATCAGCACCTCCAGATTTTACATTCAAATAGATTATAAGGGTTCAGCAGTGATAACCCCTGAAGTCATGGTAGTAACAACTGCACAGCTCAATTCCTTCACACCGACTGTGATACTGAACCCCTGTTAACTTAAAACCCTCCTGAGATTTAAACAGATCTAAAAGAATAACAAGATGCCTGGTTTTGAACTCTTGTTGATTTACTGAGAACCAAGGACAGCTTCAACTTTTCACATTAAAAAGCCAAGACTCAAAAAAGAACCCAGTCAGCATCTGGGAGACTGCTTGTGTCGATTTTTTTGACTTCAATCATTTTCAAGGTGAACATGGGCAGACTTAACTCCCCACAAAGAGAAGCAGAGGTCATTATCAACATCTGCTCCACCAAAAACAGCTTTTCCACTTCAGTTTTCTCTAACAGCCTAGCAGCCTGAGATGATACTATTTGTACTTCCTTCTCCTATTTTGATCAGTGAACTAAAAAAAAATCATGGAATTCACCATACTTCTAGCTGTGGTCTCCTTTCCATGGAAGGGAGATTCAAAACTAATCCATTTTCTAATTCCTCTTCCCTACGTACTTGTGATCTACTTCCCAAACATTCCCCTTGCTCCAGTAAAAATGACTCTCACAACCAATTAATTTATTTATACTCTGGGAGAAGATGTGCACACTGACACTTTATCACCTACAGTGCACACTCCCAGGCCCACTTTTGAAATACTTGTATTTCAAAAGTCAAGCAAAAATTGAGTTTTACATCTTTCAGACACAATTAAAGAGAAATTGAGTTTGGAAGACACCTCTGAAAGTGTCCAGCCCAATCTCCTGCTCAAAGCAGAGTAACTTCCAAGTTAGATCAGGTTGCTCAGGGCTTTGTCTCTCCAAATTTTGAAGCTTTCCAAATACAGAGTTGGGCAGCTCATATCCTCTAATTACACTCTCAAGCAGTGAACAGTTTTCTCATGTGTACAGGTACAAATTCTGCAATTCCTACAGCTGTTTGTGCCCAAACTGTGAGCCTGGTGGCACAGCCTGGCCCCAGGCTTTCTACAGCCACTCGTTAGGCAGGGCAAGGCTGCACTAAGATCCACTCTTGGGATTCTCCAGGAAAAAAAATTAATTTAAATCAAGGTCCTTAAGCCTCTCCCTCTGCCCTGAGCATTCCAGCAGCAAATCCATTCAAGCAAGTGCCCACTGGAACGTGGTGCTTGGAAATCACAATTTGATTGACTTCCTGCTAATGGGTAAATTTCACTTTGAAAGCACAAGGACCCCAATTTCATCTTCTCTCCATTTGCTGCTTCATTTATTATTGATTCCATCACAATGGATTAATAGGATATTAATTATAGATTAAACAATATGTGGCTGTGGTTTTTAAATGGTTTTTAAATAAACAAGACTTAAAAGATGAGTCTTAAAAAGTACAACTAGAAATAACATGGAACTGAAAAAAGCTCAACAAATTGAAGTATGATTACATATTTCAGTGTCTGAATTTTCTACCAAAAGGTTTCTGACTGCCCAACACCAAGAGCAGGCATACTGAATTATTCACGTCCAGAATTTATTTTTAAGACTTTGAGCTGTGTTTAATTGAACTGGAAGTCAATACCACAGTCCATTTCTGGAACAGAGTCGTCGCCTTTAGAGCTGAAAGAAT